TCAAGCGAACATTGGTTATTGTGGCTTTATTTTTCGTTCCCCAATAACCAAGGTAAGAAGTCAAGCGAACATTGATTATTATGGCTTCATTTTTCGTTCCCCAATAACCAAGGTAAGAACTCAAACGAACCATGGTTATTGTGGCTTTATTTTTCGTTCCCCAATAACCAAGGTAAGAAGTCAAGCGAACATCAAAGTGCTGTATGAATACTTTTTGAAATGATAAAATTTGTCGATCTTCAACACTAAAGAAAKAAATATATGTATTTTTAATTTGCAATTTTACCAAACCGACGGATTCAGCTTTGGAGAAGAAGCAAAAAATGAATAATTACTTAAAATAATAATTAATTCATCCTACGCTACAAGACTGGATTACTCAAAACCATGCTTAACAGAGCTTTCGCTTATCTTCCACTTCAAGGTTTCAAGGTTTCTTTATTTCCACTTACAGCAATATAAAATAATACATGAAAAAACATAAGGGTAAATTATTATGGTGGTAGAGTGTAGGAATACAACCCAAAGGGTTAATGAAGAAGCTTCCTACACCCTAGTATTATTAGGAAAAAATATGGCAGAAAGTAGCGGAAAAGAGAATTACAAAAATGTGAATAAGTATAGTTTGAGAATTTAGAATATTGAAAATTGATTACAAATAATCCATGATAAACAAGTAAGCAAAATAAGTAGTATTATTGAGATTTAAAAAAATCATAACGTGTTTTAAACATCTTATGAGATGAGCTTGCTTTTATTTCAAAAGGCACATCGTTCCAGATTACCGCACTTGCATATTTCACGCCAAATTTACCATAATTCAATTTTACATGGGCCAGAGAAAGATGTCTATTTGATGCACAGCGAGTATTGTAGCTGTGAGAAAACTGAACTTCTTTATTTATTAGTAGTATTTGAAAATGTCGGGCAATTGTTGATTTACATGTTTATATGCAATTTCACAGAGCTGAAACTTAACTATCTCGAAGATGTTTAAAATTCCCAGTTTATGGAAGAGTGGCCTACTGGGAGTTCTTGGGTTTGAGAAAGTAATTATACCAAGGACTCGTTTTTGTAAAATATGAATAGGTAATACTTTTGTTTTATAATTACTTCCCCATATTAACGCGCCATATGATAAATATGAATAAATAAAAGTTTAGTATAAACTTTTCAAGATATCTAGATTGAGATGGTGTCTACATTTATACAAGATTCCAATTGATTTAGCAATTTTCCTTGAGATATATGTGATATGTGAATCCCACGACAAGTGTTCGTCTAACAACAACCCTATAAACTTTGTGCTATTGCATGGTATAGATTGCATATTTTTGAAACGTAATATGTCCTGGACATTGCCAGTCACAATACTCTTAAATTTTTGGCGAGAGCCAAATATGAGATATTTTGTTTTTGTTATGTTGACCGCTAGTTTATTAGCCTGAAACCAATCATTAAGTAAAGCAAGTTCCTTGTTCAAGAATTGGACAGCATTTTTAGCTGATGCATAATGGTACACAAGAGTCATGTCATCAGCATATAATAGCAAGTGAAAAGCCTT